AGAATCGAATGCACTTTGAATGATGCAAATCGGCCGAGCCGTTTTCGAGAAACATTTGTATCGTTAATGAGTCACGCGTGGAGGTTTATATTTGCTGGAAATGCAAAGGCAGTCACAGCTGGTACTGTCAAAATTTCTGTGAAACTCCACACAGCTAACAATACTATCTGTGTGGAAAAAGGCAGTTCCAAAATAAATATGGCATTGTCTTCGTGGAAATTTATCCAAAGAATTAAGCAGTTGATGAATTATTATTTGTCGGACTGTGAGGTTCAATGTTTCCATGCAAATTCAAGCTTTGGTGACTTAATGAACCATGCAAAATATTTCTGCTCATCTAGGAGTCAGACTTTGGGTAAAATGCCTGATGCTGAATTGTATACAATTCTATCACAGGCATTTAACGTTCCTAGCATATCTTTCCCTGAAAGTCTCAAACAGGAAATGCTAAGTTATCACCTGGAACACATCAGGCAAAAGCTACTTGTGTTGTTCCAAAACAATTAAGTTGTATAGCTAAAAAATAAAAAAAATTACAAAAAAACAAATAAAAGAATCTTGAAAACCAAATAAACAGTGTACCACTTGATTTGAAATTAAAATATGGTTCTAAAATGGATTCCATTACCATTAAACCATGGTTTCTAATGTGATTCACTTATCAACACCAAAGCCGTTATAAAATGTGAGTCTTGCTATTATCAAAGAGCTAACAGACCACCTAAAATTGCATTTCTGTTGTTCAAATGGTTCAAAATTCGTATCAAATATATTCAGTAGATTGTTTGCCATGTGTCTCTACACCTGAAATAGTTTTTATGACCCTATTTACCTTAAATCAATATCTCAACTGACACCCGCCATTTAACTTCGGAAAACCTCTAAGGTTAGGCTGGAGAGGCAAAAAATCCTATGACTGACACTAAACAAGATTTAGATTGTAAAAAGAAACATGATTTCATATCAAATACCATGAGATGATTCATTTCTATCTGTCTCTACTCTCCATATTGTTTCCAGTGTATATCTATACTCAAAAAGCTAACAGACAACATAAATTTCATTACTGATGTTAGAATGGTTCAAAATTATTGTCAGATACATTCCATCACTTGTTTACAGTGTGTCTCTACTCTCAAAACATTTTTCTTTCCCCAAATATTATTCAAACTTTAACTCAGCTGTCACCCGCCACTTAAGTTCGATAATCCTTGAGTGCTGGTCTGAATGAACCTAACATGCTAACTGTAAGACCAATATTGATTTGCAATGTTAAAAGCAGCTTGAAATCAGATCATTTATCATGAGAGGGTTGGTTTCATTGTGTCTCTACTCTCCAAAAAGTTTCCAGTGAATATTTAAAGGTAAAACAAAATCTCAAACTTCCACGTGACAAAGAATAGCGTAAAAGGTCATAAATTGATCTGGTTGATTGAGAAGTCCTTTCCAACAGACTACATAGGAATAGCAAAATAAACTGAAGTTAAAATTTATCTCAAATAATGTGAACAATTGATATTAGGAAAAAAAGGAAAAGAAAAAA